GATGACATGCAGCAAGGGGCCTTGGGCTGGACACATGGTACGTGGTCTGCCCTGTGAGCTACCAGGGTGCACTATCAGGGTTGATCTTTCACTAAAACCTTGTTAGATGGCTTCACTGGAAGTGAGATCTTCCAGCCAACACAGACAAAAGGCGTTTTAGTCTACTTTATTCTGTTTCATTTTTCAGTGACTTGTAACAGTTTTAGTAAACACAGACAAAAGTAATTCAGCTGATGGTGGTGGCATCAGATCAGAAGAATTTAACTGTGTTCATAATGTCTTTCTAAAACCAGCAGACGCCTTGTTGAATGAAACCAAAATGAGCTTTGCTGCAGTTCCGGCAGGCACAGAAGTCTTTAAACTGTGCTCTCATGACCCATGTTTTATGCAATCACGATCCATGATCTTTCTTCATTCATTCTGCTTACTCCAACACTCACGCTGATCCTGAATGTTTCTTCTGCTTACAATTTACCACCCTCCACTTACCCAGCCTCATTAAAATTTGTGGTTTCAGGATTTTTTTTCTGTGTGTGCTCATGTTCAGTGGTAACTGCATCAATTTTGCACATCAAAGTCTGTTAACAGCTCTTGGAAAGTACTACTGCATATGTGAAAACATTGTAAAAAGACTTTTGTGGCTCCAGAGGGAGTTGCACAAAATCTGATAACTTGCCTCAAGTGATGTCATTTGAGTCAGCATGTGTTGCTCAACTTGACGCTCGGCACACGTGTTATTCTTCCAATTATTATTTTGTGAAAGACTGCTTCCATCCAATGAGTGATGCGACCCAATTGGTGAAGGCCGTACATCATCTCACCCTCTTGGTGGGTTTCTTAAGCAGTCAGAATCACTTCCTTTTCTCCGCAGCTGTTTGCTAACTACATACCTCCACCCACTACAGCTTTATCCAGCTATAAGTTCTGTTTATTCATGGGTGGCTATAATGTCCACATTCAGCACCTGTGCTGACAGACTGCAGTGATACAGAACAGAACAATGTACACTCCACACAAGTTATAGTAAAGTAAAAACCAACCACCTGCTGAAAGTATGAGAGGAGAGAGAGATAAGAGCTGTCAATGATAAAATGAGGAACCAAGGGTCTATTTTATCTATTAGGAGGATTTTCTCTCATCAAAAACACATGGAGAGATGTCTTGCACGGATACCAGTGGCAGGACAGTGATAAGTCATTTTTGGGTGGGAAATAAGTGGTAGGTATTCCATTTCATGCCTGAAGGGAAAAAAAGATGGAAGCAAACCAGTTTCTAAGCTGGGCCTTTGTTGATGTTAATCATGGTCAACTTTATGTGAAACACCAATTCCTTTCAGTAAATGAAAGTGCACATTTCCTATTATTACCTAATTTCAAATATGTTGTTTCTAGCCCACGATTTTATCAGTCAGTTTAAAAGCTAAAGCCATCAGCGGTGTCAGTTTATGTGACCCACACGAATGAAAATATTTTCAACATCCTTGATTACAGAAGTGGGCTCCTTTGCAGTGACCGACTTCAGAGAAGACCGTGCTCTTTGACAAAGTTGAGAAAGTGCTCTTGAATAACCTTGAGGAAGTGAAATTTTCAACTTGGACAAGAAATTCAGGAAGACAGAAGCACGTTCATGGAAAAACGACCACATCCTCTTCGCAAAAGATTAATTAAAATGCCTTTCAGAAGACAATCACGGAGAGTTCAGGAGGGAAAGGAGAACGAAACAATCACTGTGTTGAAACCAGTGACCACCATACAGCAACTGTGAGGTTTACCACATGTGGTTTACTAAAAAATCATATGAACATGACTCATTGACTTAGACATATCGGAGAAAATAGTTTCACATGTGACTGCAGCAAAGTTTAGAAAGGTCACAAAATTAAGAATAAAAACAGGGTTAAACGAGGTTATACGCCTGTCCAAACACTGATTTTGACAAGTAATGTCATCATTTCTGCAGTTATCTTCACGTTGTCAAATGTTTCAGAGTGGACACGAGGCGAGGATGATGTGCGGCAGAGATCTCCAGAAAATTACAGCAGCAGTCAAAAGCATGAAGACCACCAACTGAACTGAATAGCAAGAGAAGTGCCAAAATACACAGAGCAGCTATTCCTCTGTCTTTACTGACCTGCTTGCCAGACCACAAATACTGGCAATTATGAAAGCATCAACCTCCCTTTAGCTTTATTCATTCATAAATAAAAGCTATTCTTATTTGTGGCTTGTCTGCTAAAGACTCCAGAGATTGGAAGTGACCCATGCAGATGGTCTACTCAGCCGTGGTGGCCCTTCAACTTTACTCATCTTTAAGGAAAGACCAAAATGCTGGATACGTGTTATTATCCACACAAGGCATCAGACAGTACAAAAAGCAACACTGGGAGGATTTGAATGTACAGTGATTGCAGAATGATGCCCCCTGCTGAAACCACTGCCTTCCATTACAGAATATTTCAGTTAATTCAAGAATATTTATTATATGCTACTTTTTTTTACTGAATTAATTGTGGCTTGTCAGAGGGGACTTCATATATCAACAGCCATAGATGGTTAAATACACCTTTAATTTCAATTTAAAGGATATCACAACTGCATGTCACCATAAAATGGGTTTAGTGCACATTGCAGTCTAGTCTTAATATAATAATGATAATGACCACTTAAGTCTTCCATGTGAATGTCAAAGGTCAGCTTATGCTCCAGATTTCTCCCTGTGGCACACTTTATCAGAGACCCCTGCACCTGCCTGCTCCACAAACTGACCAGTCATGTCACTTTGCTCATCAGACAGCAGCAAAAACCAGAATTCACCTAAATCCCAAGGCCCACTACAAAGCTAGTCACAGGAATTACCCTTTTTGTAACCACAAAGCTGTGCAGTGTTATTAGATGTCTCATCATTACTCCTCATAAAAGTTGGATCCATTCTCTATTACTTACAAAAATCATAAATCATCCTGGTGTGAATCACCAGGGATGACATATATCTTTTGCACTTTTTGTCATCGTTTTTGGTTGATAAAATTAATCAGCATAGTGTTCAAACAAAGAAAAACCTGTCTGCCATCATACCGGAAGGCACAACCATCTCTCCTGAGAGAATACAGAGCATTGTCTGTTCGGAGAAGAGGGTTTGGAGTTGGGTGACAGGGCGCGCTGTCCTTTCAGCACCAAAGGTTTTACGCACGGCCACAGGAGTTACTTTGCAGTGAAAACACTGACGTTTTGTCCGAGTTTCAAATTGCCTGCAATGATCAGATAATGGCGAAACACAAGACGGACAGACGTGCTGTCACAAAGTTTGAAGTCATTGTTTTTGAGGAGACTAAATGTTACACTTGAAGCTGCATTAATTTTCATAGTTCTGAAACATACTGATTTCCCACTACGTGTCTTCATAATATGGTAAACTACTCAGGTCTCACTGGTCAGAATTGAGGGGGGTTGGAAAAGCCACTTGCACGCCCTGACCTAAAGAAAGCTGTACCAACCACAGTAGACTAGTGCAAACTAATCTCACATGAAGAAACCCGCTGTAGGAGCTGAACTGTGCAGTCGGCTGCTCTGACCAGAAACTTTAGAGCAATAAGTTTTAAAAAAACATGCGTAATTAATTTTCAAAGAATCATCCTTAAACGGTGCGTACATTGTATTCCAATTCCCATGATGGATGTTAAGTGCGAAATGGCTCTAAATGAAGTTATGAGAATCACAAGAAGGATATGGGAGCATTTCCACTGAGATGCCGGTATCTGCGCTCTATACTGGGCTGATTGGAAATTTCAGTGAAAGTATTAGTGGGAAAAACGCTTCCTGTAACTGCGTATCGCACAGATAAATGGAGTAACAGAAAGGAGGGGGGGCGCAGAAAACTTCACACGGCGTTCGAGTGATGGTCAGTCAACTTCAAGTGGACTTTCCCTTTCTGGAGTGCCAATAATGCGTCTTATTGTCATCACAGACACGGCGGAGTAACCCACGAGGGACAGGTCACCAGCGTCTGCGAGACAGAATAAAAAGTGAGCCTCACTTCCAGGACGACCGATCTGCTACTTGAGCGAGGACGCACACGGGACCTGGAGCACCGGATCCTTCAGCTGTTTGTCCACTCTCTCCCTGGCAGTCGGCCGGTGTTCCGAGGATGACCACAGATGCTCGGAGAATACTCGCTTGACTCCAGAAGCTGTTTCCTACACGAGAGCTGCGTTTAAGGAGACGCATTTCGGAGCGCAGAGGAGCGGGAACATAAACTAAAGTTACTCACAGTTCTTTCTTTTTCCATTTTCATCATTGCTGGACGCGCACAACGCAGTCGTACAGTCTTAAAGAAAGCTATCGAGGCCTGAAGGTAGTTATGTTTTTAACACTCATTTGTTCTCCGAGTTACTTTTTATTCTAACTAATGTCTTGGTGCCTTTGGGGCTGTGTGTGGTTGGATTTTCACTCTCTTTCGCAAAGGAAATCTTGATCTCATTGAGATTTTCTAAATAAATAAATAAAAAAAACCCACAAAGCCACAATCGTGTCAACAAGGCAAAGAGGCTACTAATCCACCTGTAGTTCTATAGATTTATTGCCTAAACAACAACCTGTGGGTGGCCTGGAGATTGACTGTAGAGAAAAACTGTCTTAACTAGAAAAGTGACAACTTATCCAGAATATGATGGGGGAAGTGTAACTTACAGTTAAAGAGAATTAATAACTTCAAAATGGTCGAGAGCGCAGATTGTTACGTGTGATGTAGGTTATACTTGTCAAATGACTTTAAAAGGGGCTTTTTTGAATTTTTTATTTTTTTTTTAACCAAAGATGAAGTAAAACCGCAAGAAATACATTTGAAGAGCTTCGTGAGCCACAGTCAGAGTCTGGTCTGTCAGTCAGTCAGCAGTTGAAACACTACTTCCCCCCGCTCTCAGCGGGTTTAATGGGGATCATTTCATTGTAAATGACATGGGAAGCACTTTGACTTGACATCCAATTCTCTATCTCTCTTGCAGGTGTCCGGTTAAAGTTTACCCAGAGGCTCTGGAGAAGGAGTTCGCGTCTTCTTTTTTCTTTTTTTCATCTCCTCACTTCACGGGAGCTATGAGCGGACTGCGCAAGCACTTCAGTATGGGACTGGTGCTCCTGATGTGCACGCTGACCGGCCACTGCAACGAGAGCGCGCCCTCGGCGGCTCCGGCGTGGACGACGACGACTACTGCGTTGACGGCGGCTGCAGCAGGAGGAGGAGGAGGAGGAGAAGGAGGAGGAAGGGACGCCCAGCAGCACTCGAGGCGTTTAATAGAGATCATGAAACACATTGAGCACAGCCGGGGTCACCACAGCGCGAAAACGGAAGCCCCCTTAACACTGTGGGCGAGGAGCTCTCTGGATTTACGCAACTTGAAAACAGACAGAGGGGATCACATAGTCGGTGAGTGGCGGCTTGGCGTCTGGGCGTGACCCTGGATCTAAATAGGAAGCTGTAAGCCTGTTATGAAGGATGCAGCCTGCTGGAATATGTGTAATAGTCATATGGCAAAGGCAGGGTAGGCTGATGGGACTAAAGTTAAAGGGTTGCTGCACCCAAAATGACCTAAAACATCTTCTAACTTACCTTAAGTGCAATGTAGACATTCAGATATTGGGTTGGAGGCAGACATTAAACATGGACACAAAATAATGAACCAAAAGTAGCTACATGGTTTAATGATTTCCTAAGAATATAATTTTTTGTTTGTTTCTCTCAGTGGATATCAAAGTTTACCCAAGTTTTTAATTTACAAAAACACCCCTGCTCTGGGTGATGTGATGTCTTAATAGGCTTTGATAAAAATGCCTATGAGTTAAACCTGACACTCCCTTCCTATCTTCTCTCTCTCTCCACAGCCGTTTTCCCCCGAGATCTCAGAAATAAGGAGAAATTCCTGAAATATTTAACAGGTAAGACCTCATTGCAAACATCTGTGCCACTGGTGATTGGGGTGTCAAGAGTCTGAGAAAATCAGAGGCATTTAATGAAAGAGATGTTATTGGACAGAGGGAGGATGGTTGAGGCAGTCAAGAACACAAAAAAAGTGAATGTTGGCTCTTCATAATAGCTGCAGTTTAAAAACAGATGTTTGTGCTGGTGGCTGTGGAGCTGGAAACATTCTTACAGGCTGCTCTCTTCCCTTTCAGGTCCACTCTACTTCAGCCCCAAGTGCAGGAAGCATGCGTACAGACTCTACAACCACACCAGAGACTGCACGATACCTGCATGTAAGTTCTGACACCAGGAGGAATGACTCCAATGTCAACACGCTGCGTGGAAAAGCACGCACTCATACGCAAATCTCTCCGTTTCATTTTTCTCCTTCTCAGATTTCAAAAGATGTGCGCGACTTCTGACACGACTAGCCGGCAGTCCGCAGTGCACAGTGGGGTAGCACGCTCAAGGTACTGTAATGCATTCACTTCTAATTCAAACACAAGAGTTTAAGTTTAAAGAGAGGAGGTGCACACTGGACTTATGGTCAAAGGGCTTGTGCATTGTACTTATTAAGCAGTCCAATATTCCAATTATTGTTTATGGACTCCAATATGCAGCAATATTATATATAACACATTTATACCACATGCAAAACAACGGCATGGTTTTATCCTAAAGTGCACATGTCTGCAATATTTACAAGTTATACTATTTTATTTTAGTATTATTACTGATGCATTAATGTGTCAGCATTTACTGTTGAAGCTGGTGAGGCAAATTAACTACTTTATATACTGTTTGGTTGTTTATAACAATTCATTATATTTTATTTTATTTTTTAATATATATAAATCTTAGAGTAATTTATAAAGTGACTATGGTATAGATCAGACAATCCCTCTCAAATGTAGTCACGTTAAAAAAGAATAGAGCAACATAAAATTGAAATACATGTCAATAACATGTAACAGTATGTACAATTTCTCAAATACATCACAACTGGGATTTACTGCCATACGTGATGCACTTTACTTCAGTGTTTCGATGTTATTTATTTACTCTATACTTCTACTCTACTACATTTTAGATGGAATATTGTTATAGTTACTTTGCAGATTAAGACTTAACATTATTACTATTACAAAAAAGATGCATTGTTAAAATTAAACTACCCAACAGTATAACATTACCTTGACCAGCCACAGCATTAACATGCATCTTACAAATTATTGACTTTAATCTCCTTATTTTGTGGTATTGCTACTTAAGTGTAAGAACTGAATACTTTTTCCACCGCTGCAACAGACAAAGAGAATAATGTCACAGTGTAAAGACTGTCTTCTTGTCTGACGCAGACAGCCATTCACAGTGGTGATATGCGTGCTGTGTTTGATACATGTAGAGAGCAGCAGATCTGTGGCAAATCAAGTTTATTGATTCATTGTTCGCGATTTCTTTTTGGAAAGGAAAGAATTTGTCAGGTGCTGCCAAGTTTGAGACTGTGCTGAATTCCACTTCCTCTTTGTTGCAGGTTGAAGCCAAACACAAGTTCTCCAGAAGAAAAAAACTTGGGAAAAAAAACTGCCTTGGACAGTAAGAGGGAAGCCTAAAATACTCTGACCAGCCCCAACTGATATTAGGCACGGTACTGCCTTTCAGTGAGGTCTGTTCTGTGCTAAGGCGTGGATTACTGCCACCCACCTCTCTGGCTGGACCCTCGATGGTTGGCTGTCACCACGAGGGAGCGACCAACAAAACCAGACCAAGATAAAGATGGTGACACTGAAGAGTGGAGAAGAAAAAAAGAAACAAGTGGCTGAGAGAAACAAACATGGGGCCTTTTTTTCCTGCTGGGATCCAAAAAGATGTTGCTAAAACACACCAAAAAAAAAGGGATTGCATATTTTTATTTTGGTCATTTCTTGAAGAAAAGAGCAAAATCCAAATGTACTGTTTATAGCATGACTTGCTTTTCTGCGAGTGATTTTGGGTTGAGCCCATCCCTACTACTGCACTACCCCATTATGCAGACAAAAAGCTCCCACAGACCCCGTGGCCGGCAGTCACAGCATAGTTTCACTCACTTGTGCTCACACTGAGAAGAAACTGTGATTAAATTATTAATTGCATGAACATTTCTCCGCGTCTTTGCAAGACATGTTTAAAAAAAGAAGTGGCGGTTGTACGGTTGTAAGTCACAGCCCTCCTGTGGATTTTGGCAGAGCGTGGTACAGTCTATATTTATATATTTGAGTTCCACTGTACACACTATCGGCCATAACCACATAAAACAAGAGAAATATGTACATACTGTAAAGCAAAGCATAAGAGGAATCCACCTACCTACCATAAATTAAAGTGACTGGCATTTATCAAATGGCTGTTAAATACATACATAAATATATATATATGTAAAAAAAATGAAATATATTTAAATAAATTATAAGATTGGTACAAATATGAATGGTCTTTGTTGTCTCATGTAGTATTTTCCTCTTACATCCCTTGAAACGTGATATGCTCCCTGAATGACCACATGACTGAACCGAGTCCCAGGACCACAGATTTGGCAAACTGAACCCACTATAGAGTGTTTTGCTTGAAACTGAATCCTTTTTATGTGAACATTTAACAGACTGTGAGTCAGCATATTTATTTTTAGATTAATTTGAAATTGATTATTTCCAGACCATAACAATGGAGGTGAATGGGATTTCATTTGTTTCGCTCCCAGCATTGAAAAATAACATTTTTTGGGGGGTGGGCGGGGGGATCCCTGGTGGTTGACAGGTTTCAGACACATACCATGTAACAGTGAAGTTCCCACTTCGATTCTGGCGGGGGGAGACTCTTGAAAACAAATGCCACAAAAATTTTAAAAGGAAGAAAAGTGACATTTAAAAACTCAAAAATGTCCTGATTACTCCACACAGTCCTCACACTTGAGCTCCTTTGTAACAAAAAATAGTTCTTATGAAACCTGTTGACAACATATTGTGGATTATCTTATGTAAAGGGAGCACTGAATCATGGGTGAAGTGAGACGTTATTCTTTGTCATGTGAGTGGACCGACCATTTACTACATCTCCCCTTTATGTGATAGTGACAGCAGAGATGGGAAAATAGGAAGAAAAGGAATGAAGGCAACAAAAGTCCCAAGCTGGACTTGAACTGGTGATGCCAGTGTAGCATTGTCAGCTACTAGGCAACCAGGACGCCCTAATTTAAAGTTTTTATAAGCTAATTCAGCTGCTTTTTTCCCCAGTAAGAGGCGTTGTCTTACACGCCATTCTTTAAAGCTGACACCAGACTACTGTAGATGAAGCTTTGTTAAATAACATCTGCACTGCTCTGAGGACCTTTTTTTCTCGCAGTCAGGTGAGAACATCTATATCAGTCTCTTATCTTCAAATAAGAAGCTAAAGAAAACTGCAGGACAGCTCAGATTAGCACAAAGACTGGGAACAGGGGAAACTGCCAGACTGCTTCTGTCCAAGAGTAACAAAAGTGCAAGTAACATTTTATATCTTGTTTGATTAATCCGAACAAAAACCAAAGTGTAAAACTACAATTGCGAGGGTTTAACCTTTCTTCCCCTTAGCTTCAGAGGTGCTGGTGGGCGGATTTAGTTACCTCCTCAGACAGAGCCTGACTGGTGGTTTCCCCATGCTTTCTTTCTTTCTTTAAGATAACCTACCCGGCTTGGAAATGTAGCCTTACATTTAGGGTACAGACATGAGTGAGATATCAATCTTGTCTTCTAAGTATCCTTCACAGTTAGGACCCTTGGTACTTTAACAATTCTTAAACAATTGGAAACCCTGCAGTCACCAGTTGGTAAATTTAACCTTTGGCTCCACGCTTGTTAATTAAGTAACAGCCCCTTCTCAATGTCAACTCTTTCATGTGGAAGACAATCAAACTGAATGCTAATTTGTATTGGCACTGATGAGACCTCCTTCATGGGATTACCACTATTTAAGCAGTAAGTGGTGATTGACACATAGCAGAATAACGTTAGCATCAACAAAGAGGAGGAGCATTCAAGGGAATGTTTTCAAGCATCCATTAAATATGTTTGATATCTAATATTTGTGAGAATGATCTTGTGTTATTAGGTCAGATAAAAGGTGCTGTATACCAAAACACAACCAAAAGAAGAGCCAAGAAAATAACCTAACCACCACTCGTCCCAAAGAAATACACAGGAAGCTTAGCGTTGAGGCTAGCACTCTGACCCCGGTGTTGGCCTTTGACCTGAACCTCATGTCCAGACATGTATTATTGTCTGCAGGATACCTTCATTCATATACATTCTTCAGTATATTTAAAATGTAAAGATGAATGAATTGTGTGTAAAAATAAATCCCCAATACTCATACTCATTTATCCATTTTATTAATCACATGAAATTAGTCAACAAACTTGTCCACGCAGCATCTTTTCTAAATGTACACAACGTGTGGTTTGTATAACATTTACAACACTGCACCAAAGTGTTCTGGTTCTTTCAGTGAGATCCACAGAAGAGGGTTATACTGACGAGTGCTTGTGTGATACAGACAAAGTATATTTGGGTTGATTATTGTTGTTCATTCGATAGTCATCAGAGATGGTTTATGGTCGGATAGTTGTTAGGAGTTCGATTCCAGAAATGCTTTGCAGCAGCGTACACACTGTTCATACACCTTCTCAAAGTCTTCGTCACTCCCCTAAGAGATAAAACAAAACAATAAATAAGAGAAATTCAAATTAATTTCAGCCAAGAGCTGAGAGCTGAATCACATACATCTGTTTGACTTTTTTTTTTTAAACTAGTGGTTCAGAAAGGAAATAAACCGGTCCAATACAGCTGTAGATATGTAGGACCAGTTCTGTGATGTGGTTTGAAAAAAACACACTCAAATGTGTTTCTTATTCAACCGATAAATTATTTTCAAGTCCACTTTCTGAGCACCAAATTGTTGAGTTGTGAAGGAAACGGATCCCAGACTGCCAACTGGCTTCAGCGGAAAAATAGTACGTCCTAAGGGAGAAATATACTGCCAAAGGTAGAAAATTCTGGTTTTGATGGTGTTGAAACCCTAATAGACTTTTATGGGAAATCCTTTCTAACCATAGAGAATCTAGCTTTAAAGAGAAGTGAACTGAGGCATTGGACAGCAAATATAGAAAAAACAGTTGTAGGTCAGTAATAAAACAAATGTTAATGTTCACTGTCTGAATCAAAAAGATTTTTTACACACAGCACAGTGAAGGCCTGCAGCTAACGATTATTTCCATTACCTATTAATCCTATAAATTAAATTAAATCATAAAACACAAACGGCTCATTAAATTAAAATACAATTCTTATTTTTATTATACGCTAATGAAAACATACCTATGACTTGATCATATTCCATGTCTGCCAAAAGACCCTCCTAAATGTTACACACTGGATCTTTAATACAATTCATCCTCTGGGGACCGTAAATGTCTGAACCAAATTCCACATCAATCTATCCAATAGATCGTATAGAAGAGTTGAATATACTGCTGGCAAAAACAACAACCCACACCCGGTGGGGGGGGTGCTATTAATGCAGAGTGGGCAAGTTTTATCATTGAGTTAACTGATCTGGAGTTATCTTAGGGACAGCCATGATAAGTAGCTGGAATTCAAGATGTTGTCATCTCTTTAAAGTGGAAACTTTCGCCCCCACTAGCCTTTCCAAGAGGTTTTAATGTTTGCGCCGCAGTCGCAAAGTTAACCGATCACTTTCAGTTTTTTAATCACAGCTTCATGAAAAAACATTACTTTAGAAATAAGAGAGAAGCATGTTAGCTGAAGAGAAGAACAGTCTAAAAGCTATTGCAATGATGCAGAGTAATTACATATTATCACTCTCTTAAATCAAGCCTCCCAGGAAATAACCCGGTGGCAGAACCGCATAGTGAAAGCAAGGCTTATAGGGAACCAGTGTTAACACGGATGGTCTCATTATTCTACAGCCATTACACTGTGGAATCAACATTTACCTAATAATTATAATTTAAAGCAAATAAGCTAAACATGTTGACCGGTAAAATTATGAACGTAAACTCTCACTGTGTTCATAAAATAACAAACACAAAAATGCCAAAGACAAGAAATGTGCTCTGGTGCCTCTGTGAGTTTATCATTATAATCACACTGAAGACAGACAACAAGACTTATGTCTCCATTTATCTAGACACATTGACAGTGACGATCTGGTTCCTCTTGGCTCACATTGCTGTCATGCCATGTGGTTTCTTGCGAGGGAGCACAATCCAATACTGTCAAGTGTCCAAACCGCACAGACTGAAAAAAGCATTCATTTACTCCTTCTTTTGGCAAGAAAAAGCTACAAGAAGACAAACTCATGCACTCGCATCATAAAAAAGAAAAAGTTGTCTTCAAAGCCAAAATCTGTGACAAACTAATATAACTGACTACAGTCACATAAACTGTGGTCAACCACAACCCCTTATGATTTGATGACTGTTTTATCTTGGGATCCCGGTTCCACAGCACTGCAGAAGGGCACAAATACATTATCATTTTGCCAACAGAGCTTTAGCTGCACATCATCCCTCGAGACCACACAGGGAATGATTACTTTTCAAGCTTAAATACGTTATGGAAGCACAAACGGTTCGAGCATCCAAAGATTTTTTTAATGTATATTGACAACTCATCATCACTAATAAAACTTTCAAATCTTTCCCCAACAATTACTCCCCCCTCCACTTTTGCCTTTTCCCACTCATAACCGTCAAGAAGATAGAAAGCAGCCACGGACCCGTGTCCAAATCATTTGGCAGGACTTTCAGCTGCAGAGAAAGCACGTAAGGAGCGAAACGGATGAGTGAGCCATGGAGCGTGAAAAGGCAAAGCAATATGAAAACAGAATTAAGACTAACAGTGATATCCAAGCAATCTAACAGTTGTAAAAGTGTAAAAGTAATTAAAAAAAAGCTTTTTTGGGGCATAATTTAAGCTTTTATTCAAATTGAGTGAGCAAGGAACTGAGTGTTGCATTGTTGTAGTTTTGTTTTGGTGCTTGTTTATTTCATGAAACGTGCCTGGACATGGACCCATCTTCCCCTGTGGAGAGTAAATCCTCTTCAGAGCAAACACATGCACCTAGACTGGGAACCAGACGAATCTGCAAGCTCATGTTTTATTTGCTCTGGCAGATGAGTCGGCTCCCCCTCCCAGTCGGACAGATTTCCACCAGTCCTGGATCTGGTTGGGCGAATGGCAACCATTTATCTAATACGGAGCGGGGTTTAATACGATGACTGCACAGAGGAGTACAAACTTACTGAAACATTTTTGTAAACAACCAAGATGGCTGCCGTTGATGTGCAACTGTTTCTGTTCCACATCAGTATTAAACAAACTGGACAGTGTATTTTCTCTAAAT